ACATGACCAGCAGTGTTTCTTGTGTCTCTCTGTGCTCTTTATGGGCTCAACGTCGGGGGGGGGAGGGGGGCGGGCTGTCGGAGTTTTCATTGTGTCAATGTAATGTCATACCGCCTACGGGACTCCATCCCCGGGTTTGATTTCAGAGATTGCCTTCTCTTAGATGAGTTGTCAACCAAGGTAAAAAGAGTCCCATCAACCAGGGTTCTGGTGTTGTTTTTGCTTGTCTAGGCTTTGCTGGGGTTGAACACCGGTCCACAAGCTTGGGATTCACCCAGTTCAGACCGCTCGGCCACCTCTTAACACTTGGTTCCCTCTTACAACGGTGCACATACAGGACTTGTATAATCGGGTGAGGCCAAAGGTACTCACCTCTTTAAGAGCCCCTTGTTGTTCCTTAAGCACAGTATGACGTCACCTTGGGGATCCAAGAATCGCTTTTAAAAAAAATAAAAAACTTCCCAACCATGAAGACAATTCTACACAGGCAAAGAGACCCCGAGTACGATAACTATCAACCCTGATCACACTTTTTAAAGTATTATGTGCGTCAGATCCTAGAGTAAAACAGATCCCAGTTTTCTTTTAATTTATCATAGCTCAAGTAAAGACTGATATGCCATGCTCTTAGGGCATATGTCCAAAAGGCATGGTGCTCAGTGCCTATACGAAAATGTTAGGGCTAAAAGATACCATGTTATCATAAAATGGTGGTTCACTATTTTGGGCTTAGTTCTATGATCAAAATAAAGGTACCCAGGGCCTAGGAAGGTAGTTCTTTAAATTACAGTGCTGGCTATATAGCATAATGGTGCATTTCCCGCCCCCTCGCTACTTACAGGCCTGTCTCAATTCTAAGACCGGTGATTGTGTGGCTTTCATGTCTTCCCCTGCAATCATTCTCGCACACTTTGTCAAAAGCACTTCATTTTGTTAGTCACACAATGTGCACGAGACAGCAGCTGTTGGCTATTCATGGCTCAAGTTACACAAGGCATTCACTTTAACTCGATCAACTGCTTGCGGCTATAGAACTGTTAATAATGCTCGGTAGCTAGACACTTTTATCACTTTCTGTTAAAGTTCTATTACAGTTACATCACTGTATGGATGTATAAAATGTGTGCATTTTACCATTTTATTTTAGGCCATAATCCTGATTGCGTTGTATGATTGGATAGAAAAAAAAATGAAAATGACTGGTCGTTGTGATTGTTTTGTCATAGTTCCTAGACTGCATGGCAAGATTGAAGTCATTAGTTTTATGAATGACATGTCATGTGACCTAATCTACGGCCGTTGTTGAATTGCTTTGTTACGTAAATCAAGGAAGGGTGATTCAATGAACTAGAAAAGGGCGTGGCTGGTCATGTCTCGCTTAGGATCTCAAGAAACTTCTCGATTCCCCTTATGAAATGAGACAGTTTAATCAACCTATACGCAGACCTGGCACTAATTAGATACATGTAGAAATACATTATTACATGACCATAGCTCTTGTACGCATTTCAGTTCCTCTGTGTTATCATGATGCTGTGTCTGGACATGAGGATTTAAGTTAACATAATTATATATTATGTTGACCTAATGATATAAAATTAACATGATGATACATTTGGGGTGATGATATCAGTTAACACGATGATACAAATTTAAATTATATAAATTAACATAATGAGATCATTTTATATACGTTTTAAATTATTCTTGCTCTTAAGAGCGATTGAATTGTGGAACTCTTAAATCATACATGAATTGTAACTAATGAATAGTCTCCCATTAAGCCTCTAGTTCTAGTTCTACAAAGATGACTTTATTACACCATCAGTTTTGAACGTGCAACTTTTGTAAACAAAATACTTCGCTTCTAAATCAAGAAGAAAACAAAACTGTACAAAAGCATGCACGGCCATACAACATGGCAACTTTTGTAAACAAAATACTTCGCTTCTAAATCAAGAAGAAAACAAAACTGTACAAAAGCATGCACGGCCATACAACATGGCAACTTTTGTAAACAAAATACTTCGCTTCTAAATCAAGAAGAAAAAAACTGTACAAAAGCATGCACGGCCATACAACATGGCAAACGTATAAAACCTGTACAAAGTACATGTAAACCATACAGGTTGGCATGAATGCCTAAATTGGCTTTTGTATCTTAGTGAATCTTAGTATTTTTTCCAGAACCAAATTATGCTTATTTTAAAGGATGTTGAAATATTCTAGTAGCAGTATTTTGTTAATTTTCAGAGTTTAAGCTCATTAGTCTTCCATGGGCCAGTGAACAGAGAGAGAGTTCACGGGTAGACTAAGAATACACGCAAACAACATATTTAACGACTCAAGATGTGCTCACCACTTCCTGAGTTTTTCAGACAGCTCGGTAGCAGGTATATCTGTAACGTTTCATTGGTCTGCTCTCTCGGTTGTGGCGTGGGAAGTTAGGAACACGGTTGTAATAAGGCGTGAGTGTAGTCGGGAGTGTGTGTGTGGGGATTCCAGCACTGAAGCTGATGGCAACATGACCAATCATGCCACCAGCTACGAGCAATTACATAACGTTTAACATTTTAATTATATTGCATATCGGATTACTATTAAAAGCGGGAGGGGTGATAATTTAGCGCCGAGAATGAAACGTTTCGTGAGAAGATTGAGATGAATTCTAAATGCCACACCAACCTAGGCCATGATACAATATTTAGATTTGCATTTTCTTTAAGCCTAGTGGAAGCAGCATGCATGGCTAATTGCTAAATTCTAAATTATTTGCCCAGCTCCACCCAAAGGACGTCATTTTGGGTAGGGCATCCCCCCCCCAACCCCGCAATCCTGAATTTTCAGGTTTTACTTAAATTACTATTTACTGTGGCACCTCCAGTAATAAACAACTCAACAAGCCGGATAAGTTTTAGTTCCTCCCCTCCCCACTGATTATTTCAGAAATGTTAATCGGGGGGGGGGGGGGGGGT